CATGGACAAATTGCAAACAGTGGCAGAGCACTGCCACCGCACTCTAAAAGGAAAGGAGGAACAGTCCTCCCAAAAGTTAATGGCCCTGCAAATACAGCATTATTCAGGGCAGGGCAAACAGTACCGGGGACGGGGAAGGGTCCAGGGACGGGGATGTGGTTGCGGAAGGGGCCGTGGAACTGGATTTTCGGGTTTTGGGGACGTTTGTAATTACTGTAAGCAGCCCGGACATTGGAAGAAGAATGTCCACGCTGGCCTGATCGTTCTGTAAATAACCAGCTAGACCCCCTGTCGGCACAGCCCGACAGTCCCCAGCCTTGCTTTGTCCCACAGCAATGACGGGACGCCGGGGAACCTCAGGAAATTTTAGCTCCTTTACTACCTCTCACTCCCACAGGTGAGTGTGTTTTGACTATCAATGATCTTTCTCTCCCTTTCCTTGTTGATACGGGAGCTTCGCTCTCTGCAGTTCGTACTACCGACCTGCCTGCGGTTCCCCCTCCGGAAAAACCGTGTCTGCTGTGGGCATTACGGGAGTCCCAACCCCTTATCCCCTTTCAAAACCTCTACCGGTCCAGGTTGGTCCCCTTTCCGAGGATCATGCCTTCCTTCTCTCTGATTCCACTCCGGTAAACCTTTTGGGTCGGGATCTGTTATGTAAACTTGGCTGTACCATCTACTGTTCCCCGGATGGTGTCTACTTACAAATCCCCCAGTCCTCTCTGAGTGATTCTGTGGCTTCCCTGCTGTCCGAAACTCCCCTTTCCACTCCGGTCCCCTGTTGCCCATTGATCCCGTCCCTTGAACACCTAATTTTGCAGGTCCCATCCTCTCTGTGGCCAACCCATCCTTCTGAAGTGGGCCGCTTAAATACTGACCCCGTCTGCATTACTGTTGACTCCTCCAAACCCCTGCCCGCCTGTCTCAATACCCTTTAAACCCCGAAGCAGAGGCTGGCATTGCTCCGGTCCTGACCGCCCTGCGGGAACAAGGCATTACTGTCCCCTGCTCCAGCCCCTGTAGCACCCCTATCCTCCCAGTTCCGAAAGCTGATGGTAAATCGTGGCCGTTTGTTCAGGATCTTCGAGCCATTAACGTATCGTCATACCTGCCTTTCCTGTTGTCCCTAACTCAGCAACGATTCTGGCTTTATCCCACCAGGTGCAACTCATTTTACTCTTGTTGATTTGTGCTCTGCTTTGTTTTCTGTCCCGGTTCACCCTGACTCCCAGTATCTTTTTGCCTTTTCTTACAAGGGGCGGCAGTACCCATGGACCACGCTCCCGCAGGGGTATACTGAAAGCCCATCTTACTGTTCCCAAGCATTGGCCTGAGATCTCGCTGACCTTGTTTTCCTGTCCGGGTCCACACTAGTCCAATATGTAGATGATCTACTCCGCTGTTCTCCTTCGTTGTCTGCCTCAGAAACTGATTCTTTAGTGCTCCTTACTGCCCTAGCAAAGAAGGGTCACAAGGCTTCTCACTCTAAGCTACAGCTCTGTCAGGCCTCCGTCACATACCTTGGTTTTCTCCTCTCCCAGGGTTCCCGTACACTTTCTCCCACCCGCGTCCAAGCTATCCTTAGCTTTCCCCGACCCCGCTCCCCACGCCAGGTCCGAAAGTTTTTGGGCATGGCTGGATTTTGCAGGCAATGGATTCCCCAATATGCCTCCCTTGTAAAACTCTCCAGGAACTCACTTGAGTCTCTGTGCCTGGCCCCATGCCGTGGCCCCCTGAGGCCGACTCTGCCTTTGTTTCCCTCAAACAGGGTTTGCCCACGCCTTAGGGCTGCCTGACTACTCTAAGCCTTTTACCCTTTTCTGCCACAAACAATCTGGGTGTGCACTTGGAGTTCTCACTCAGATGCACAGAGACAAAAACCGCCCAGTGGCTTATTTCTCTGCCACTTTGGACCCTGTTGCCCAAGGCTTACCCCACTGCCTGTGTGCTGTGGCTGCCGCAGCGTGCCTAGTCAAAATGTCCGAATCCCTTGTCCTCCGCTCTCCTCTTACCCTCATGGTACCTCACTCTGTGGAAACTCTCCTGCTGCAACGTAACACAGGCCACTTCTCCTCCGCCCGCCTTACCAGGTATGAACTTTTACTGCTGTCGGCTTCGTATATCACCGTAAAGCGTTGTTCTCAGTTAAACCCTGCCACTCTCCTTCCTTTGTCTGATGACGGTGATCCCCATGACTGCCTTGCAACTGTCTCTGCTGTCACCGTCCCGCGCTCTGACCTTTCTGATGTCCCTCTCTCTAACTCTGACCTGGTTTTGTTTACTGATGGTTCCTGTTTTCGAGATGACCAAGGTCGTCTCCTTGCAGGGTATGCTGTAGTGTCACTCACTGAGACCCTAGAAGCTGCGCCTTTACCTTCTGTGATCTCAGCGCAAGTCGCCGAATTGGTTGCCCTCACCCGTGCCTGCTTTTTGGCGGGGGGACGCTCCGCCACCATTTAAACTGACTCCCGCTATGCTTTTGGGGTTGTACATGACTTTGGTACCCTCTGGCAAGCTCGGGGTTTCCTTACCTCCGCCGGTACCCCTATCAAAAATGGCCCCTACATTGCCGCCCTCCTGTATGCAGTTTTACTTCCGTCTGCCCTAGCTATTGTTAAGTGCCTTGGCCACTCGATGGCGGATACTGATGTTGCTAAGGGTAACGCATTTGCTGACACCTCTGCTAAACATGCTGCTGCCATAGAACCTTCCCCAGATGCATTTCTAGGTTCCCTTTCTGCTTCTATACCACCGTCGTCCCTCACTGACCTCACCCTGCTCCAAGACTCTGCCCCAGACGCCGAAAAGGACTCCTGGGTTGCCCAGCGTTGCTCTCTACATCCTGATTCCCTTTGGCGTTCACCTACTGGTGCCTTCGTGGCCCCCTTTTCACTCTACCCGTCGCTGGCCGCCCTGCTACACGGTGTTTTGCATGTCAGAAAGGAGGGGATGGTCTCTGCTGTAACTAAAGCAGGATGGTGGGCCCTCCATTTCAGCTCTTTTGCAGCCCGCCACTGTGCCGCCTGTACCACTTGCCAAAGCCATAATATTGGTAAACCTGTAAAAGTGGCTCAGGGATTCCGGGGCCTGCCCCAGGCACCATTCTTGCATTGGCAACTTGATTTTGTACAAATGCCTAAGTGTCAACAATTTGAATTCATTTTGGTTATGGTATGTTTATTTTCTGGTTGGATCGAAGCCTTTCCTTGTCGCAAGGCTGACTCACTGTCTGTTGCCAAATGTTTGTTAAATCATATTATGCCTGCCAAGGGAATTCCTGCCACTCTGTCCAGTGACCGGGGTACACATTTTACCGGACAACTTGTTCAACACCTGGATCGTGTATTACATATCACACACCTGCTGCACTGTCCCTACCAGCCACAGAGCGCAGGTGTAGTTGAAAGACAAAATGGTGTACTTAAAGATAAGCTTGCTAAAATTTGTGACTCTACAGGGTTAAGCTGGCCAGCAGCCTTACCGTGGGCCCTTATGGAAATGCGATCCACTCCATCCCAAAGGCATAAATTGAGTCTCTTTGAAATTGTGATGGGACGTCCTATGCGAGCTATGGCTACCATTACTCCAGTCCCAGACTTGAACTTGACGCACAGTACGCTCCTTCAATATTGCAAGGGATTAATGCAAGCCGTAAGTCACTTCCATTCACAGGTTCGAGCCGCCTGGCTGACGGAACCCACCTCTGACGCTTGCCATGACCTCGAACCAGGTGATTGGGTCTACATACGGCACCACCATCGAAAACACGCCTTGGAGCCCCGGGGGAAGGGTCCTCACCAGGTACTGCTTACTACCCAGACGGCTGTTAAACTGTCTGGCATCGCAGCGTGGATACATGCTTCACAGTGTAAGAAGGCACCACCCCCAGCGAACCGATCATCACCTCAGGCCCGCGCAGAGTCAATTTTGACTCCAGAAGAAGACGTAGAGGAACAGCCTGCAATACCTTACAATCTACGCTCTCGTAAGGGTTGCCAGAAGCAGACGATGACCTAAAGCAAGGCCCGAGAAGGAGCAGTAGCGAGCCTAGCGCCTGCTGCCTGGTGGACGTAAAACCGTGACTGCGGTTCCCTCAGTTGAGGTTGTCAGAACCAGAAGGGCCTTGCCTCCAACATGCGCCTCTGGTGGCGCCTGTTCCTCGGCTGCTGGGTGTCACAGAGTGTGGGGGCTGGATCACCCCCAAAGCCAGCATGGCCCTGACCTCTCTTTCCAGGTCCTAAGCAGTTTTCCCTGTGACTCGGAAGGGGGGGCATTTTATAGGCGGGTGCGATCCTGTCTGCACCCGGTGGACAGTCAGATTAGTGCGTCCAGGCAGGTTGGAAAACAGCTGTCGGTACAGATGCAGCACCCCTCTGATCTCATGCAAAAAGGCTCCTGAGATTACAAGCAGTAGTTGAAATAATGGCAAATGAAACTGGAGAAAGTTTAAGAGCCCTGGCCAAAGAAACAGGGGTGATCCAACAGATGACTGTCCTCCGACAAGCTGGACTGCGGGACCTCCCTTCCACAAGGGGGGCCTGATAAGCTTGGGGTTCTTAGGCCCCTGCCCTGGTGAGTTGCTCTGGGGGCTGCACCCCTCGCCCCGGCTCTGTCCCCCAGGTCCCTGCCTGCCTGGCCTGGTCCTTCGCCCCAGCACCCTCCTGCTTCCTGGCGGCTGGACTGTGAAACTCACGAGGGTGCTTCAGGGGGTGATTTCCACACCCCGGGGGCACCACACCCAGCTAAATGCTCCACCCCTGAGCGAGGCAGGGAGAGCCCGGGGACCCAGCGGGGTGGGAGAGCGGGTGACAGACTCCTGGGCTGCCCTGCCACGGCAGGCAGGAGACGATGCGCTGGAGCAGACGACCCATGGGGGCAATCCGGGCTGGCGGGAGCAGGCCCAGCATATTCCCATGACCTGAGAAATACCCTGGGGGGCCGGCTGGCCCCACTTAGCATCCGCCGGCAGGGCAGCCCCTGGCTGAATAACAGCACAGCCCTTCCGAACTGGGGCTCTGGCTTTATTGGGGATGAACAGCCGGGCGATGGAGCTGAGTGAAGCGGGGGTGCGGGGAAGGGGTAGCAGGATCCGTTGGCCAGGCCGCTCTGCCCGGCCTGGTGCTGGAGCGGGCGCAGTGTCTGACGGGCAGGGGTGGCCGCCGGGTCTCCGCTGGGTGGCGGTGATAGCAGCGTCCTTCCGCGGGTGGGGGGCGCCAGAGATGCCCAGGCTGGCTAGGGGAAGAGGAGACACGCCATGGGGTTAGCATTGCGGCTGGGGGCTCTGGGGGATCCCCGCCCCTGCTGCTCTCCGGCTGGGTTCGTTTCTGGGAGTTGGCGGAGGCGTCCGCCCCTGCGTCAGACCAGCCGAGTGGGTCACGTTCGCAGAGAGCCAAGCTGTGGCCCTGGGGAGCGGCTGCCTGGGGCAGGAGCGAGGGCACCCCTTCCGCACCCAGGGGCCCGCAGGCATGCCCGCCGGCTGGCACTCCGGGCCCCGTGGGGGTGCTCTGAGCTCAGCTCCGAGGGCACACCCGTCCGTCTGTCACAGACCGTGATGTTCCAGCCTGCGCTGCTCCGGGGCCCGTTTGCTCCTTGGCCTCTGCTGGGGCTGCCAGCCAGGGGGCGATGGGGGGGGTGGGTTGTGACCTGGACCCACCACTAAGGACTCACTCGAGCCCAGCAAACTCACTGCTGCGCAGCCAGCGAGCAGCGCCCAGACCGGAACACTTGCTCACTGCTGCCTTGGGTGAGCCCGAGTCTCTGCAGCCCAGGCCGGACCCCGGAAACCCCTGCCCCATCTGCCTGCCCTTGGTCCCCCTTGGGGGCGCTGGACACGCCCCCTCCCGCTACGGTGCATCTTGGCGCCCTCTGCTGGGCTGTGGGATCAGCCCCTGGGGAGGGCAGTGGGTTAAAGGGCATCAGTCCCAAGGGCAGCGGGCACAGAGCACTCTGCAGGGGGCTCGGCCAGAGAGGGGAGCAGTCTGGTGCCCAGCCCAGAGCCCCCGAAGGGAACCATGAGCAGCCCAGCCCCCACCTGGTCCAGAGCCCTGCCTGCGGGTGCCCGTCCTACCATGCTGTGGATGTGCGGGTGGCTAGGACGGCAGCTCTCCGGAGAAGGCAAGGACACCGGGATGGTAGGGCGCTTCGCCCGTCTCCTGCACAGTCCTGCACTCCTCCTCGTGTCTCGTCTCCATCTCCTGCAGGGGCAGAGGCGTCAGGTCACAGGGTGGCCACGGTTCCGGCCAGGGAGCTGGTGCGGATCCAGCCCCAAGCAGCACCCCTGGGGCATGGTCTGGGCCCAGCGCTGTTGGCACCATCAGTCTGCACAGAGCATGGAACCGCTGAGCCTCAGTGCTCACGTGCTGCATGCGTGTACATGTCCGTGTGCATGTCATGGGCATGTGCATGTCCTGGCATCTACCAGGAGCACAGGTGTCTGTCCGTCCTCCGTGCGCAGACCCATGCTGCACCTGGGAGTGGGACCTGGGGGGTGGAATGGCCCAGCTGAGCCTGGCCCCACCCAGCACTGCTCCCAGGCCCCTTGCCGACGTGTTGGATTTTCCCAGCACCTGCTCCCAGGAGAGCGGCTCTGCGCCCGATCCCTGCCCGCGGGCGCGCTCACCTTCTCAGACTGCTGCTTCTCCATCCTGCAATGCGTGTAGCTACCCAGCACCTTTCCCCCGCTGCGGGAGTCAAACTTGACACAAGCCAGGCAGATCTGCTTCCTCTGAGGAGAGAGGGACCAAGTGAAGCCTCCAGCCCCGTGGGCAGCGCCCGGGGGCTGCCGAGAACATTCAGCAGCTCCCCCGCCAGCTCCCCCTGCTGCATGTGACCCCAGGGCCGTCTGTGCCCCTCCCTCACCGCGGGGGATGTTCCCCCTCGTACCCGCAGGTCGGTGCACACACCCCCCCGCACCCCTGGCCCCAATCCCTTGTAGGTGCTGGGCCTCCCCAGTCTGTGTCCCCCGCACAGCCCGTGGGGTGGGACAAGCGCTGACCCCAGCTCAGCCAGAGCCACACGGTGACTTGTCCCCGGGGAGTCCCTGGCAGAGCAGGGACCGGAGCCCAGCACCTTGCCCCGCGGGCAGCCGCCTCCAGCCCCCACCACGCAGGGTCCAGCTGAGCCCCCCTGCTCTGCGCACACTCAGCCGCGTGCCAGTGCTCAGCCCCTCCCTGCCGCTCGCACGCTCCGCACTCCTCCCTGGGGCCTGGCGGAGCTGGGGGCTGCCCCCCACCTCATTCCCGGGACGGGGAGAGCGTCACTGCAGCCCCGCTCCCTGGTGGAGGGGGAGGAAATGACCCTCCGGAGCAGTCACCCAGCCGCCCGGACAGACAGAGGTCGGAGGCGGCTGGCCCCTCGCTCACCCCTCTGCGGTTGAGGGCGCAGTCCTGTCTGCTCCCCGGCTGGTTCGGGCACTGGGTCTGCTGGAGCCTGACCCGCAGCCGCACAAAGTGCCCCGCCGGATACTCCTGGAACCAAAGAGAAACCAGGTGTCATGGAGTGTGGGGGAGATACGGCCCTGCACCCTGGCTTCCTGCGATTCACCATGACTCTCAGCCAGCCAGAAAAGCAGAAGGTTTATTTAGACGACAGGAACACAGTCCAATACAGGTCTTGCAGGTAGAGACAACAGGACCCCCTCAGTTAGGTCCATCTGGAGGGAGGGGGGAAGGGAGGCCAGAGCCCTGTTGGGGAACCAGAGCCCATCTGGGCTCCTCTCCATTTCCCCAGCCAGCTCCAAACTGAAACTCCCTCCAGCGCTCTTACTTCACCTTCCCCCGGCTCCTCCCGCAGCCTTTGTCCATTTCCCGGGCAAAGGTGTCACCTGGCCTCCAACCCCCTTCCTGGGTTCTCACGTTACATGCTCAGGTATCTTCCCTCAAGGAAAGTCTCCCATCCCCAATGCAGACAGCCCCAGCAAAACTCCCCTGCCACCTTCCCAGGTCAATACTCCCCACTCAGGACTCAAAGACCACATTAAGAATATTCCCAGATCGTCACACCAGGGTCAGCAAAGCGCCGCTGGCAGCTCCTGCCAGAGCCCCGGGCTCCCTCTGCCGAGGGGGGTGGAGGCTCCCCGGGACACGCAGGGCCCGAGGAAACGCCCTGCGTGCTAAGGGGAGTGTGCATTGCTCACTGTGACTAGCCAGTGCCCAGGGGTGCGCTGGAGACTCCAGCCCAGCACAGAGCCAGGGGCCTGGGCACGCGGCCTGCACCAACCAGTCGCCTCCGGGATACAGCCTCACTTGCCCGCCATGGCGTGGCCCTGTGAGGGGCAGTGTCACCCCAGGCGACGGAGGGGCTGGTAGAGACTCCCTCTGCCTCGTGCCGCTCCCGGCCCCCAAGTCTGACAGGACGTCCAACGCGCCCGCTCCCATGAGCAGCGGTGTCCGCAGAGGAGCCTGGGAGAAGCCCCTGAGCGCCCCGCGGCCTGTGCTGGGGTGTGGGGGGTTCGCCCCGTGCCGCAGCAGCCGGGAAGGGGCCAACGGCTGGTGGGTTACGTCTCCGGGGGGGGCCGAGGGGCACAGCCGGGAGGAAAAGCTGCCACCGGAGAGGCCGGGCACTGTGGGCAGCCAGCCCGAGCTCGGCCGCAGCGTGGGAGGAAGCTGCAGCAGGCGCTGGAGCGCCCGGGAGAGCGGGTTACAGCCCAGGGAGGGGCAGCGCGGGATTCTGAGCAGCACCAGCAGCTGCCAATGCGCAGCCCTGGACTGGACCCCAGGGGAGCAGGTGGGCCTGGGGTCCCTCAGGAGGGGCGGGGCGAGCCTGGGGAGCAAAGGGGCGGGGCTACTGAGACGTCACCACTCCGAGGCCCCCGGCAGTGCCCCGCACCCTGTGCCTGCCACTGGCTGCCCCCTCAGGGGGGCCGGGCACAGTTCATGTGTAGCTGAGCTCTGCAGGTCAACGCCCATTCGCCTCTGACAAGGCTGGCCAGGTGCCCGCAGCCCAGCCTAGCCCCCCTGGGCCAGGACGCTGAGCCCCGTTAGCTGGAACCAGCTCTCCCGACCGACGCCCGCCTCGCGCTGCCTGCCGGGCCGTGAGCAGCTCCACGGGGCCAGGCTCCATCCTGCTTTCCCCATTCTGGCTGCGCAGAGCCCTGGCCGCCTAGCCGGCCTTGTCCCCTCAGGCGATGCACGACGCATGGGCCACTGGGAGTGCTGAGCATGGCTCTGCAGGGCTCCAACTCATCCCCAGGCCCCTGCCCACCGCCATCCCACCCCCCTCCCTGTACCCAAACCCAGTCCTCCCCACAGCTCCCCTTCCCTGCCCCCAGCCAGTCTCTGCAGATCTCCTCCGTCCTCACCCGTGGGCGCTGTGTATCCCCACCGCAAACCCACCCACAGGGGCTCTCAGCCATGAGAGTCCCACGTTCCTTTCGTCCCACAGGATCCCAAAGCACCATACAGGCTGGGTAGACAGGAATCGCTTCCCCCATCACTGCGGAGCAGCCACCTCTGGGGAGGGACTCAGCAGCTCAGCGCACAGCAACGCGTCGCCAGCTCTCACGCACTCACTGTTTCAGTGACGTCTTCCACGGCCTGTTTCTTGTACACCCATTGCACGACTTTCCTGTTGTGAAAAGCCTCCAGCACCAAGTCCACCACCCTCTCCTGCAGCGTCAATTCGCTAGCCGCAGCCAGGGCCACCAAGCCCAAGCCCAGAACTAGCAGCCCCTTCATCTGTGCGGGTGGCGAATGGATCCCAGGGAGCCGTCTGCCCCTCTCCCCCACCCCAAGAACTCCCCTCTGTTGATCTTAGTCTTCCATTAACCAATTCCCCAGAAGCTGCCCTACTCCTCCCCCTGCCCGGCCAGCACCCTGCCCACTGCAATCTCTGTCATGGATTTGTTGTCGGGAGCTGCTGGAGAGAGGCAGGCAAAGTTGGCACAGCCCGGCCGTGGGGGTGGGGCAGGAGGGAGGGCGAGCCAGGGGAACGGGATGCCCAGTTCCTGGTGGCCTGGAAGCTCTGTCCTGTGCCTGGTCACTAAACCCATCTCGCCTCTAGGGCCGGATTGAACGAGCCCATTCGGTGCTGCAGCCGCAGGTCCCTGGAGCCAGAGCACATCCTTTCTTGGCTCCTCTCCCCGGCTGTGTCGGGGGAAGCTTTGCACGCCCTGCGGGTCACCGCAATGCAGAGATCCACCGCCCTGCCAGCTCGCCCCACACCCAGCCCCCATCTGACCAGGGACAGGTGTGTGTTTGGGGTGGGGGAGGGGACGCTTAGGAGGTAGGATGGAAAGAGACTCACAGAGGTTCAGCTTCTGCCACCCGTTGCTTCCGGCCTGGTGCTGGGACCCCCCCGGGCTGGCTCCTCCTCACAGCCCTTGGCAATCCAGGGGCATCGCCCAGTGCAGGGCACCGGGGCAGCGCATACTGAGTGGGGGGGGGGTCACGTCACGGTCACTATCCCTGCAGCCCAGCGAGAGGAAGCTCCCGGCGAGCCTATGGCAAAGAAAGGAACCGAACTCCCAGACCCGAGGCTGTCCCTCCGGAGCTCTTCCCAACGGGCGCCCCGAGCTCTGGCAGCTGCAGGGGTTCTGGCTCTAGGGGTGCTGCCCACAGGGGGCTCCGCAGGCTTTCCCCACCCCCGCCCTGTGACGAGAACGGAGCTCAGAGCAGCAGCGAGGGCAAAGCCTGGGCAGGTCCCATTGAGTCCATCTTGCTCCCTACAAGCTGGGGAACCGGGCTGTGTCCGTCCCTGGCGCTGGGTCTCCCAGCCCCCACGGCTGGATCAGTTTGTTTGTCCGTTCTGGTCGCTACGTTTTATCGGAAACCTGACAGATGTTCCACCCAGAGAGAACCAACCGTGTGGCAGAGCGGAACCTTTCCCAGGCAGGCAGGGGCCCCGTGGCATCGGGTCACTGGCTGGGAGGGCAGGTGGATTAGGCAACAGAGGAACAGAGAGCAGGGGTTGGAAATGCTGAAGGTTGAGCTGGTTTGAAGTTCAGTGTTTCTCCGAATGGTTCGAAGAGCTGAATTCTCAGCACAGAGTCTGAGCGCTTGGGGAGGGCGGGGGGCAGCGGAGATACTTCTCCTTAGATACTGAAACCAGCTATTCCCTGCTCTGTGCCTCACCCACGCCCCTAACCATAGCCTGCCCCCCCCAGCCCCTGATCCCACTTTCTCCCTGCCAACCAGACTCAACCCTCGCGCTGCTCTTCTAATCCTTCGTAAAGTACTTAAAGTACGCTCCGCCCGCCTTCAAAGTGTTCCGAGCCGACCTCCTCTCTCC